CAAAGCGAGTGCTCTAACCACTGAGCTACAGGACTCCATCTCATTATTATCTCATTATTCCTCTGGCTGCTTCTCCTCATTTGAGCACCTCACCCTCTCACTCAAAATTCTCCTGGTTTACCGTCCCCCAAAACCCCCTGGCTCCTTCCTTTCCGATATCTCTGCTCTCCTCCCTGTCCCTTTGTTCAGATCGCCTGCTCATAATGGGCGACTTTAACCTCCACCTAAACTCCCCTTGCGCCACATCCTCAGATTTCATTGCCCTCCTCTGCTCCCTAAACCTCACCCTCCACATCAACTTGCTGACCCACAACCATGGCCACTCCCTCGACTTCATCATCACACATAGCCTCGACATTTCCAATCTGTGTATCACGGGCAAAGCCACCTCGGACAACTTCCTCATCTCCTTCTCCTCTCGCATTCCTCTCCCCTCAATCTTGCCCCAATCACACTTTTCCGCCCATGGAAGAGGCTTCCCCCTGAGACCCTCACAAAAGCCCTCTCATCCTCAGACCTCCTATCCCACTGGCCTTCTGTCCACAGCGGCCCTGAAGCAGCTGTCAAGCTGTTCCATGATCGCCTCTCCTCCACCTTCAACTCCCTCGTCCCCTGAAATCCAGGAGCGTCTCCAAACCCAACCGCTCTCCCAGTACAACAGCCATCTCCGCTCCCTAACATCCCAAACCCGGCTGCTCGAGTGCAGGTGGCAGAAAAACAGCCTCACCACCAGCTGTGGCTCGAGCATCTTCACACCTACCCCGCTGCCTGTCGCAAGCAAAAACTGCGCACTATTGAAACATCACACTGGAGGCCAATAATAACTACAAAATCCTATTTTCCACCACCCGCCACCTCATCCGTGTGCTCCCTTAAGCCCCTCAATCATCACATCTAATGCCGTGTGAAGGGGTCATGGACTTCCTTACCTCTAAAATTGACAACATCCGCCTGGCTGCTTCATATCTGCCCCATGTCGCCTACCACCACCCCCATTCTGTCTCCCTCACCCACCCCACCCTCAGCTCCTACCATAGCTCCCACCCTACATTCATTTGCCCCCATCACTCCTTCCTCTCATCCACCATCACCACAATGAAACCCATTACCTACTGCCTCGACCCCCTCCCCACTCAACTACTGATCACTCAGCTCCCCCTCCTCTGCCCACTGCTGGCAGACACTATTAACTGTCTCTCTCCTCAGGATCAGTCCCACCCACTCTCAAACCTGCGGTCATCATCCCACTCCTTAAAACCTACCCTCGATCCCTCCAATCTCGGCCACTCCCGCCCTATCTCAAACCTGCCTTCCTTGCCAAAGCTCTGGAACTCATCGTTGCCAACCAACTTCATGCCCACCTCTCCCACCACACCCTACTCTAACCCCTCCAGTCCGGTTTCCGTTCCGACTGACCACAGTACAGAGACAGTGCTTGTGAAGGTCACAAACGATAACCTCTCTATCTGTGACCAGGGCTCCCTCTGCCTCCTCGTCTTCCTGGACCTCTCCATCGTGTTCGACACAGTCGATCATGCCATCCTGCTCCACCACCTGTCCTCTATCATCCACCTCAGTGAGACCCGCACTCACTTGGTTCGAGTCCTGCCTTACAAACCGCCAGCAATACATTTCGACAAATGTTTTTTCTTCGCGCTTCCCCCCGGTCACCTGCGAGGTAGATACCTCAAGGATCCATCCTTGGCCCCCTTCTCTTCCTCATCTATATGCTCCCTCTCGGTGATGTCATCCGCAGACACGGGGTTAACTTCCACATGTATGCGGATGACACTCTACTTTTCCACCTCCAGCTTTAACCCTCAGTCCCCTGATGTTCTGTCAGTTTGTCTGTTAGACATCAGGAGCTGAATGAGCACAAATTTCCTGCAGTTAAACGTCAACAAGATGGGAGCCATAGTCTTTGGCTCCCGCCCACGTCTTCTGACCCACGGTTCCGACCTCCTCAACCTACCCGACCTGTCCTTAAAACTCTCTGAAGCCGTGCGCAACTTAGGCATCAGGTTCGAACCCCAGTTATCCTTCCTCCCCCACAACCAGTCCCTGACCAGCACCTTTCTTCCACCTCCACCACATTGCCCGTCTCTGACAATACCTCACCCCAAAAGTTGCCGAAACCCTTGTCCATACCTTTGTCACCTCTCAGCTGGTCGACTCTAACGCCCTCCTCGTCGCTCTCCCCTCCTCCACTATTCACAAAATTCAGTTCATTCAAAACTCCGCCGCCCGCATTCTGACTCGCACTGACCTCCGTACCCTGATTACTCCAGTCCTGGCCAAACACCACTGGCTCCTGTCACAGAGCAGATCCACTTCAACATCCTCACTCTAGTGTTTAAACCCCTCCATTCCTTGCCCCACCCCATCTCGCTAACCTCCTCTCTCCCCACAGCAGTACCCGCTGCCTCCGCTCTACTGGCTCCGGCCTCCTCCGCATCCCCCAAATCCTCCGCTCCACCATTGGCTGCTGTGCCTTCAGCCACTATGCCCCGAAACTTTGGAACTTCCTCCCTCAGTCCCTTCACCTCGCACCCTCCTTCCCCATCTTCAGGTCACGGCTGAAAACCTTCCTTTTCAACCGCGCCTATAGTCACCTTCCCCCTCCCCCGGCTCAGCCTCGGGCCCCACCATTGTTAAACTCTGAAAAGCCACCTGACGTGGATGTCACTATATAAGTCCGGGTTGTTGTTGTTGAGTCTGCTAAAGGGAGGTAGCGGACTGATTGATATGGTGTTAACAGGTCACAGAGGTAGGAAGGAGCTCTGTGACAGGGAGCCTCCGTTCAGCGGGCTCCGGTCTGCTCCATGTCTCCCGCCCGACCCACCTTACCATCGGTGGCCGGGCTTTCAGCCTCTCTGCCCCCACACTCTGGAACTCCATCCCACGGTCCCTTCTCCTCACTTACTCCCGCCTCCTTCAAGACGCGGCTCAAGACCCTCCTCTTCAATCATAGCTTCAGTCGCCCTCCCACCACTCTGCCTTCCCTCACCCCTCCCCCACCCCTCCCTCATGCTCGGGTCCTGACCCCTGACTGTCCAGCGTCTTCGGACGTCCTCCCGACGTGAAAGGCTCTCTATCAATGTAATTTTGTTGTTGTTGTTGTGGAGGTCTTTGAAGTTGAGGACAATTACACACAGAGGCACTAGTGTGTAATTTGGTGGCCGCACTTCCAGCCACTACGCCCCGAAGCTCTGGAACACTCCTCTTCTATCCCTCCAACTTACCCCTTCCTTTCCCATCTTCAGGTCGCGCCTGAAGACCTTCCTCTTCGACCGTGCCTATGGTCACCGCCCTCTCCCCGCCCCCCCCACCCGGCTCAGTGTCGTGCTCCACCGATGTCAAGCACTCTGGGACGCTGTGTCAATGCATCAGGTGCGCTGTGTAAATACAAATTGTTATTGTTGTAATGTAAGCATAATATTATTGTGGAGTCCTGTAGCTCAGTGGTTAGATCACTCACCTCGCAAGCGAGAGACCTGGGTTCGATTCTCCTGCAGGGCGAAATATTGGGCATTTCCTTACTCCACATGCCTCTGTTTACCTCGCAGTAACACGGTTGTAAGTCGATTGGTGGGTCGCTTTTCCAGGGGTAATATTTCCTTCCTAAAAAAAATAATAAATCGGTCACTCAATCCACAACTGTTTGTGGAGCACTGCTGTGCGCAATTGGTTGCCGGGTTTGCCCACAAAGTATACAGTCAATTCACAAGCAGTAAGTAGGAATCCGGTTATTAGTCAATTGGGGGATCACTTTTCCAAGAGTAATAATCCTTTCAAAATAAATAATAATAATCCTTGCATTTGATATAGCACCTTCACGTCTTCGAGAAGTCTCAAACACACTGTAAAGTGAATTGACTGTATATTTTGTGGGTGAAACACAGTAGCCAATTGTGCACAGCAGTGTCGCACAAACAGTCGTAGATTGAAGTGACCAATTTATTATTATTATTATTGTAGGAGGAGTTGTCCCCAATAACACGTGTGTTTTTCCGCAGAGAATCAGTGCGGTGTCCCGAGCTGGCCTGAAATACCTGGGACAATCTATTCATGGGATCTGGGACCTGACGGGCGACGGGCTGACAGATTTGGCTGTGGGAGCCTTGGGAACAGCCCTGGTATTCCGGTGAGAAGCTCCCATCACCAGCCGCCAGCAGTATTCCCATTCCCTCCTCGCATTCCCATAAGCATCTCGGGAATTGCCGTAGTGTAGTGACTAGAGCAATGGCCTTGCAAGCAAGAGGACCCGGGTTCGATTCCCAGACAGGACAAACCCTTTGACAAGTTTCCTTACTCCACACACCTCTGTTTATCCAGCAGTAATTTGTAACCTGTTTGTTAGTCGATTGACGGGTCG